CCCATCCCTGGTTCAAGGTAAAAATATTTTTCCTGTCCCTACCCCATCCTCATTCAAGATCGGGAAAAACCCACCTTGAGGTAAGGTGGGGCTAGGCTTCGATTTTACAGAGAAAATTGCCATTCTTACAACTGAACAACCATCGTGTTCAACTAATCCGAATTACCCTCTATGTGGCAATGTGGCACAATAGTTGGGGACCTGAAATCTCAAACTTACGTTTCCTACAACCACCATTGCATAAGAGTGTCAATGGTATTCAAAAATCCTATTTCGAATTTGAGATTCGACATAATCAAATTGAGTTTGGATAATTTAATTCTTATATATAATATATGAAATATTTAAATGTTTTATAATATATATATATAATAATTAGATTATATAAATAATTTATATATTTAAATGCTTTATATAAATAAAATAATTAATATATGAAACATTTATTTTATTTATTTATTAATTACCTTAAATATTAATTAGTCAAATTCAAACCGAACCAAATATTTGAATATTTAATTAAATGTGAATTCAAATATTAATTTTTAGTATTCGTAAGATATCCAATTGAATTAGAATATTGCCTTAGATTCGAATTTGATCCGTTTACACAATTACACCCCTACGAGATCCCTTTGATTTTAGGGGTTTTTTTACTATTCAGTCCACCCCCAGAAATCTTAGCTCCATTGTATAGGTGCGATGAATCCTGACCGTAAATTGATGCCAAATCCACGGGTAGGATGTGATTTATATGGGGCTACTAGTAAAGTAGGAGGGGGTGTAATTAGGGGTGGCCACGAGACATGCTCTTCACGAGCTACTCGAGTTCAGCTTGGTTTCAACTAAGATTTGAGTCGAGCTTGAACCCAATCTACAGGCTCGCTTATTAATTGAGTCGAGCTCGAGCCTAATAATCGAATAGCTACATACATAAATACATAAATACATACTTACTTACTTATAATAATAATAATTATTATTATTATAGAAAATAATATATATAATAAAAATATTATAGATATAATATTTTTATTTTTATATATAATAATAACTAATTATTATAATTCCTAATTTTTAAATATCAAATAAAAATATTTTTTATATATACTTTTTTTTTTTATTTTTATAAAACATTTTTCTCAAATCGAGCTCGAACTTATGAGTTTTTGACTCGAGCTGAGCTCAAACTAAACTTGAACTCGAGCCTCTTATTGCCTTGGTGAGCCCCCCTAACTGTAATTTCAGATTTCTGAGGTGGAGTGCAATTTACTTATCCCTTTATTTTAACACGCGAGAGTGTTTCAATCTCACACTGGCTTGATGTGTTTCAATCACTATGGTATTGGGTTTGTCCTGTGACGGTGATCACAGCTCGCAGGAAATGTGTTATTCTAAATCGTAGACTATTCTCTTAACAATACTTGATGAGGGATTGATGAGGGAAAGGAAATAAAAACATGCATTGCTCGAGCTAGAGGCTCATAGGCTTGACGCTGAGCATAACAATGCTCACATGCACCATGTTATAAAGGTCTATTTTGTTACTTTTCTAAAACAATTGTCTCCACGTGTTAAGTTTTATCAATGTTATAAATTGCTCTTAACTTGATGGAGAAAAGGGTTTTGGTGACCTAGTGGGGGGCAATACTTGGCTCCTATTTATGTCACGGAGTGGTAGGACTGTTCACGGGTCGGGTTGGGTCGGTTTAATAGATTTTTTTAATCGACCCGATCTGCTCAGGTTACTTAAAGAGTAAGCTAAAACCGATCTACCATTAAGCAAAACCAATCTAAACATAAGGGGTCGGTTTGACATTATTTGTGAACATCCTTTTTTTGGTGTAAAATTTCTTATTCAAAAAAGGAAAACAATCATAAAGACAAAAGTAATTCCCATTTAACTAATTTTTTATTGCTCTTTAATGTTAAAAATAAGTAACTAACTAGAAATAAAAAAATTAGGATAGGGAGAGGTGCAAATCGGGTTGTGCCGCCTGCGGCCCAGCACGAAATTGGACCAACTCGACTCGGTACAACACAACCGCTAAACCGACCGATTAACCATTCGAATTGTTTTAACCATTTTTCAAAATTTTTAATTTTTTTGTCAGAATGGGCTGACCATTCGGTTCGAATGGTCAAACCGTTCGACCCGGTAACCGGACCCTTGGACCGGTTTGGTTTTAAAAACCATGCTTGAATGGCCACAAATTGGCTCAGCTATTGTTGCAAGTATTTTAAAAACTTTACATGCTTATGGATTTTCTATTCATTTTTATAATGCCAGCAATAATGATTCCGCAATAAATATTTTAAAATCTCAATTAAAACCATGTTTAAATGGTAAATTAATTCATATCAAATGTGCATGTCACATCTTAAATTTATGTATTCAAGATGCCTTGAATATTATTTCTATTCATATTTCTAAAATTAGAAATTATATATTATATATATATATTAAAAGTTTAGGGACAAGAAAACAAGAATTTAAGTATTTATGTCAAAATTATGGTTTAAAATATAAACATTTTATATTAGATGTAAAACATAGGTGGAATTCTACTTATGATATGTTAGAAAGTTGTATTTCTCATAAACAAATTCTTACTGATTTTTATTATGCAAAAATAACTAATGATATTATATTTGAGGAAGACTGGGAAATGGCAGTTTGTATAATAGATTTTTTAGAACATTTTTATGATGCAACTAATGAATTATCAAGTATTTATTATCCAACTAGTTGTAATTTACCTTATCAATTAATGGTAATTAGTGATTGTTTTTCAAAATATAGAAATAATCCATAATTTAAATGTATTGTTGAAATAATGGAAAATAAATTTAAAAAATATTGGGAGAACATTTCTCCCCTTTATTGTTTAGCTACAATATTAGACCCTAAGATTAGGAAAGATGGTTTAGATATTTTACTCGAAACATATTGTGAAAATATGAATATTGAAATTGGAAATAAAAAAGAAGAAATTAATAATTTATTATTTGAAATATACAGTTTATATGAATCTGAAACTGTAGAAAATATTCCTACAACTTGTACAATATCTTCTACTTTTGATCTTGAGCCTAGTAGTAGAAGAGAAAAACTTTTTTATTTAATAAGTAGAAGGCATAAATATGCTATTTCTACAACAAGTTCATTTACTGAACTTATTTTTTATTTTAAAAACAAAATTTTTCTAGTTTAGGTGAGGGAACAAATAATTTTGATATTTTAGCATGGTGGAGTGAACACTCAAAAAATTATCCAGTTCTCGCCACCATGGCACGTAATCTATTAACCCCTGCGGTGTCTACAATTCCATCAAAGTCTTGTTTTAGTGTAGGTACTAGGGTGTTGGACAACAAGAGAATCTACATGAATGATGAAAGTATAGAGATGCGCATCTGTTTTAAGGATTGGTTAGATGCAGAAGATAGATTACAAGACAAAGGAGGGCATGATATTACACCATATATTTAACCTGAAGCATATGATGAAAGTCATGATTCATGAAGTTGACTAGTTGTATAGAATTTTTATTTTTTTCAAATTATTGTAATTTTATTTAATTTATTTGCTATTTTTTTTAATTTTTTAACAATGTATTTTTGTATTTTCTATTTGTAACTATATTGTATTTTTTATATTTTATTAATTTATTCCATTTTCATTTTTCATTCATCCAAGTATCCAATGATCCAATGATTGTATTTGTAATTTATATTATTCAAATTTAAATGAAATAAAATTCCTATTTTTCTTCCAATTTGTTATTCCATCATTTTTATTTGGTTAAGTATTTATTTTTTCATTTATGTGTTAGATAACTTAGATTTCTCATTTCTTAATTTTTCAAATAGTTTCCAAAGTTCAAAGGAAAGTTAAATATTTTAGTTTTGCACTTTTATATAAAAAAAATAAAAAATAAAAAAAAGTAAAAAAAATCAGTCTAGCCCGATTCGGCGTAGGCCCAAGGCCCGCGGTATGGCACGACACGGGACAAGCCCGCACAGGCCTAGGCCATGGGCCGTGCTGAGCCGACTCCCAAAATTTTCACCGGGGAGGGCAGCATAGCCCGTGACAACCCACGGGCCAGCACGACACGGCCCACACTTTGCGTAGGCCACCCGCGGGCCGTGCCATGCCAGTCTGGCACGATCCACTTTACACCTCTAGGATAGGGATTACCTAGATAGGGAAAGACTAGGAAATCAAAAACTAATTCAGTTCGATTTGGTTCGGTTTCTATTTTCATGAACCAAATTATCTGTTTATCCCTCTTCACAACTTGAAACCGATCGGTGATGAAGAAAAACCGACCAAATTGGATTGGATCGGGCCGATTTGATAGGTTTGGCCTTGTTTGTGAACAGCTCTATAGGGCAGGCTTGGGGCCTAATTTTATACCATATCGGGTTCGAGTTTCAGGACCCATTCAAAATCCGGCAAAAGCCAAACCCGAACCCGACCCATGAAAAAGTCTATTCCTATTATGGTCTAAACCCTAAAACCTAAACCTTTGCCACCTCTCCGATGTCCCATGCCATCCCACGATCCCAACGTCAGCACCAACCATCCAAGGGGCCCAACTGGTATAAGATCATCTGGGCAAAAGATCAGAGTGCGCATAACGAACTATAACCGTCTGATTTTACTCATATCGGACGATTGATGAATGTTTAAACAGTGCAGTGAAAATTAAGATCATCTTGATTAATATGCTGATTTTTTAATTTTCTTTTAAGCCAAGGTTTCTAATAGGTTCGGGTGGGACCCATTCAACGGTGGGTCTGGATTCTTGACCGCCCAACCGTACAGGCTGATTGCCGACTGGCGGTTCTTCACGGTTCGTTTCGCTAGCTCCTCAAAATAGCTTGCCACGTGTCGCCACGAAATTCTTCTCTTCGAATCTCCGCGCCCCACGTGCGAGTCGAGGTATTCGTATCAACTGTTGAGTCATTGAGTGCTGGGCCATTCTTTTTTTTTTTTTTAATTATTTTTCTTTTTATAATTTCTTCTCCAAAATCAGATTTTGCGGTAGTGCTTGTATCAAGAGAAAGAGAATGCCCCTGAACACGATTACCAAAAGAAATTTGAAAAAACAAAAGAAACCCTGAAATCTACTACGAAGCCCGATTTCTGTCAAAGATCGATTGCGCAATCATCTATCATTAATCGATCAGGTTCGTTTGAGCTACTTACTTTTCTATCGGCTGCCTTTAGCTTCAAAGTTCAGACCTTTGTTTTGAATTCTGATTCGTTTTTCCTTGGATCTTCGCCCTTCGCTCTTTCCTCAAAGTTAATGTTAGGCTCAGGTGTGAGGTTTTCTTCTGGTTCAACTGGATCTGTAATGGTTCTTTTGATTTTATGATCTCTATTTTTTTCCTGTAACGTAATTAGGAGATCGGAATTCGGAACCCATATCATCTTTCTAGGGTTTGGTGGTCATTTTTGAGTTGTACATTTTGCTTGATAACAAATATACGTGCTCCTTCGTCTTCATATAGTCCGAGCTCGACCCTTTGTCTTTACGGTTTTATCTGAAACGCGTTTCCGATTTAATTGGTAACTGGTTTCCGTGTTACTCGTGAACTCGGTTTGGTTTATGTCGTCTTATTCCTGATTATATTTTATCTATTTATTTTTTGTACAACGAAAAAGGAAAGATTTGAGTGACAAACTGATCTCCACCTAAAGCAGGCCCTTAGTTAATTCTCCATACTATTTGTCTCTTTTATCAGCTTGAGATTTTGTAGAAGAATCAGCAATTTATGGAAGCATTGGGAAACCAGAGGGAGAGCTGCGATCGAATTAGTGAATTGCCTGATTCTGTTATTCAACACATTCTTTCCTTTCTCCCGGTAAAGGATGTCATAAGGACCAGCTTCTTGTCGAAAAGATGGAAATACCTATGGACTTCCGTTCCCAATCTAGATTTCGACGGCCTTGTATTTTCTCCCAAGACCAAATTTATGAACTTTGTGGACTCAGTTCTGCTTCGTCGTAATGGTGCTGCAATTCAGAAGTTCCGTCTCAGTTTCGGTGACTACTACTGTGATGGTTCTCGCGTTCATACATGGATTGATGCTGCAGTAACTCACAATGTTCGGGAGCTCGATTTCTTCTATTACACATCGAAGCACTTCGATCTGCCTATTTGCCTTTATACCTGCAAGTCTTTGACAGTGTTGAAGCTGAATTTGAACTTTGCCACCCTCAACCTCCCATCATCTATTTATTTACCTTCCCTCAAGACCCTGCAACTTTCTTCTCTCGCATTTCCCAACGATGATTTGACTGAAAAGCTCTTCTCTAGCTGTCCAATCCTTGAGAGCCTAATTCTGCGAGATTGTGCACTTGGGAATCTCAAAATTCTCCGCATTTGCTCTTCATCGCTTCAAAGATTATCCATAGACGGCCTTCCGAAGGAATTGGGTTTGTCCAATGGAACAATTGCATGTCAAATTAAGGTTTCCACCCCGAGGCTTTTGTCCTTTGAATACAGTGACCATATGGGGCAAGATATTTCTATAGAGAATATGTCATCACTTGAGTATGCGTACATCTCATTCGACTTCGATTGGGAGGAGAATGAACCACTGTGTGTTCATTGTGTAACAAAATTTCTAAGAGGTCTTTCTAATGCAAAAGTTCTGAAAGTATCATCTACTAGCATTCAGGTACACTTCCTTTCTTATTTCAAATAAGAAAAGTTTCTAATGGTGCTCTAGTTTTACTTTGCAAGCATTGTTTTAGTCACATAAAGATCAACCTTTGCCTTTGTTGTATGGATAATTTTCTCACCCAAAAGCTTGGTTTGAAGTTTAATTCCTGAAGGATGATTTTGCTTTTTTGTTATGTTGCCTTGTTGCCAAACAGCTTCTCTCTCCAGCTTCTAATTCGTTAGGGCGACTCCCTATGTTTTATAATCTCAGTCGTTTGAATTTAGGAGCTGCAGCAACAAAAGAGAACATCAGGGTGATAACGAGCTTCCTCCATAGCGCCCCAAATTTGGAGATATTGGCTATTGCTTTTCTCTCACTGGTAAGTCGCTGATTACTTGGATTCTATTATTACAACGTCACTTATCTTACCCTGAGCACTTAGAGCAGTTTTTAAGTCACATTGTAACTCTGGATCCTGATTGATTGCTGTCAGCGGGGGTTTCATGAGAAGAGGTATTTTGAAGCCCAAGATGTGCCACCTCTTGAGCGTGTCATTGATCGCCTCAAAGTTGTTAAGATTATGTGGTTTGGTGGAGGAAAGAACGAACTTGTGTTTGTGAAATTTTTGTTGGAAAACGCAAGGGCCCTAAAGAGGATGACTATCATGCCCTCAAAGCAGTTATCTGCGAACTTAGAGCTGCAAATGAAGGTTAGACAGGAGATATTAATGCATCGTAGAGGCTCGATAAGCAGTGAAGTTTTGTTTCTGTCATAATGTTTTCTGAGCCTGAATTGTATTTGTAACAAAAGTTCCTGTAAAAAAAAATTAGGATTCTTCATGAATGGTTCAAGTTTATCAAACCTGTGTGCTTGTGCGTGTGTGTGCAAGCGCCCACACCCTTCAGACATCAATTTCCTTTATCTGACAATAAAGGTGCATTTCCTAAATATTCTTCACATCTATACAACTGAATTGGACATTCCGACTGAGTGTAAGAGAGATTGGAATAGTTTAATTCTAATCATTCTTATTCTATGTTGACTGCGCATTGGCATCTGCCAGGCTACAGTGCCACTCTAATCACAATCCCTGAAGATGAACAATTAGAATGTTGTTACTTCGTGGTGCAGGCCTAATTTGTTTTCTATGCAGTTTCCTTTATACTGGTGCAAAAGTATGGGAGTGTAAATAACTTGATTGCAAATTCTGAATTTCTGATTTATTTTTGTTTTAAATTTCACTGTCTTGTTTTTGTTTTACAACTGAACGGGATACAGAGTCATTCTTTCCGAAACAGATTATGATGAATTGTGTTCAATCATAAAAGATAAAACGATGGGTTGCTCCCTTTAACTGCTGTGTGTTCCATGATTCCCATCTCATGCAGTTTTACCACCAATGGTTCCGATGAATCAATCAGAGTGAACATCAATACATCATAGATTTGACCAGAATGTGAGCGTACGTTTGTCAAGCTCGTTCTCTTCTCAATCACATCTTCTCTCATCTTGTATAAACAGAGTATGAATGCTATAGCCTAATATTATTGGTATTGGTATAGCTACCAAGCAGTGCGGCTCATTATATGGCCATCTAGGCTGGAGATTGCCCTGTGTCCTCGTGCGTTTAGATTGCAGAAATATTTAAGGTTAATTATTTATGTTGTTGATGATGATAGAATGGGTCCAGCTGATACTGATGATACTGAAGATTGGACCAAACTTTACACCCGATATACCTTAAAACTGTAATATTATACTGAAACCAGATAGGCGTTCAATGATGATTTCTGCAGTCTGCACCACTTGAATGAAGGAAATGTTTATGTGAAATTAGTTTAAACCGGAAGTTTGAGGGCTTCTAGTCTAGTAACAAAAACTAGTCTTCGTGCCCCGGTTGTCCCTCTGTTATTTCAGTCAAAATAGTTGGTGCAACTTCATTTCTGCAGTATTCCATTGCTCCATCTTGATCAAGGTTTCCCTCTTTTGCGGGTGTCACGGAAGGGAAGGCTATATTATTCTTTTCAGCTTCTTGAAGGCTTGAAATGAAGCCGCTTGATCTTTTCCACTATTCCCTATCTCGCCAAGTCATAGGTATTTACAAAAGCTGCTTGAAACTAAAAGGCTGCCAGACAATGTGGAAAACACAGTGATTGGTTGGGGTTGATGGTTTTCGCCTCCATTTCTTGTTGTACATCTACGTTCAGAGCAAGGGTTTCTAAATTAGGACAAGTCTTTTTAGCACATGATGAGCAAGTCCCAAAAGCTCCCATTTGTTGAATCCCATTTCAGGTTCCAAGTGCTTTCGTAGCAAAGAATGGGCTCATGGAGTGTCCAACGTCTAATACCAGTGTTTTCAAAACTGGACCGGAGGATTGGACCAGAAAAACTGGGAACCGGTCATTTGATTGGTTCTGTTTCATCTCAAAACTGTTGATTTGGTCAAACTGTTCGGGCAGTCAAACTGTCAATCCAGAAAATGGTATTTGGTCTTTTTTGTCTTTTTAATTTTTTTTGTCAGAGAGGGCCATCCATTCAGACCGATAGGTCAGACTGTTCAATCCAAGAACCAGACCTCAGAATGGTTTTCTGCCCGGTCTGATTTTAAAGACCCTGTCTAGTACACCTATCTTACGGAAATAGCTTACAGAACCAAATAGAGCAAGGAGTGAGAAAAAAAAGAAATTAAAATTTTATAGTTTCTTAGACTTAGTTTGAAAAAGTATAAATATAAATATGTAGATTGTAAAACCTTGCATTTTGTATTATTTTATATACATTTATACTGTTTTTACTCCTTCCAAACTGAGCCTTAATACCGATTCTTGTCGGAGTACAAAGCTAAGTGCAAAATATAGATGGCCATTTTCCCTCCACTTGTCAATATGATCCCTTTGTTTGCAGGTGTAGAATGCACACTCTACTATTTTATGATTCTCAAACAAGAGAAATTTTCGGAAGTAATTAATTTGCAAAATGTAGGAAGTAAACTTATTAAAGAAAGGAAAAGGTGTATATGACATGGTTTCATCCATCAAATCATGTTGCTTGGTTTTCTGGTGGCTGTTACTTGTATCAAGGTATGCATGCTTGAAGTTCCATTAAATTAAGGTTCCGTTTGGTTTATAAGAATAAGAGTTTGAAATCGTAATTGGAATGGGTTATTTTGATTTCAATTATTTAATTGGAACTGCGAACCAAATGGATTCATATAATATTTTAATGCAATAACCGACATTTTTCATGCCCGAGTAAGGTTTTGTGAGAACAATAAATAAAGAAGGAAATTGAGTTGAGACAACTTAAAAAAATGTAAATTATAAAGACCCCCAAATCCTCTTCCGTTAGTTTTCGTTGAAATTGTCCGTTACAATATTTTTTAATCTCCATATTATCCCGTTTTAATAAGAAAAATACTGTTAATCTTCCCCAACCTCACCTCAGGATACAAGAACTGCAACGGCGATAAGGGGAGAGAGAGATCGGGGATTACCGCCGCTGCTGTTCTCTACCTCTGCAATATCGGGTTTTGTCCTTGACATATTTACAGGAGCGAATCACTTCGTCCCGCGCAGAACTATCGAGTCTCCGGCAAAACTTAAACTTCCCTGGATCCGGCCCGGGCTGCATAGCACCAGCTAGATATCAGTGTCATGGAGATTGAGCGCCTGGGTGCAGACATGGCTTATTCTGAGAGGTAGAGAACTTGCCGATCTCCCTTGCCACCGGAAGAGCAACCCCTTCTCCTCCATTTCCATCGCCGCCTCCGCCTTCAAACCCGTCACCGACTTCCACCGCTGCAACTGATTGCAGCGGCGGATTCGAACTCAGCGGCGGCGAATCCACCACCGGCCTCTCTCCCTCTCTCTCTCCATCTTTGTTTGGAATTTTGGAATTTAATTTTGATTTCCTTCACTTGGGCGATAGACGCAACATCTCACTGGCAACGACATCAACGTTCAAAATCGTCAGGGTCGTTGCTTCTTCTATCACCTGCAAAACAGCGAAGCCAACAACTTTGATTCCTCCAGGGGCCTCCACCAGGCCAGGTATGCTCGCTCTCTGTGCCTGCGGCATCACCGGCACTAGTACTGTGTTCCTCTTGTCGATCTCCTACAGTGTTCCTCTTATCGTCGATAACAAAGGCTTGTACGTGTTGGCAGAGATCGAACTGTTTGTGACCTTGTATCATCACGACCTGCCATAAGAACCGGAGGACAGATATGGGGGATGGCTGAGCCCTCTAATACAGTAAGCCCAGAACATTTGGTTTCTCCTATCTGAATCTCGTTTAGATTTTATGAATTATAAAACATAAATTTCTAGGGAAGTGTGTTTGTTTCTCACTGTCACAAATCTTGTGATGAAGAGATAGAGTTTGAATGGAAATAGAAAATGGGATTTTGATTTTGTTGGTGCTTATTGTTGCAAGGAAGATTGTGTATTTTGCGCAAATCTGTTTTAGGAGCTTTAGGGATCTGGTGAAGTTCTGGAGTAGCTTGAATGAGCCCAACGCATATGCTCTTTATGCGTATCTCAGAGGACTGTATCCACCAGGCCATTATTCGGAGATTGAAGTTGTAAAATCATCATTAAGGATTTCGATTTGCAAAGTAAGAAGCCTCTCGGGAGGGATTTGAAGGAATAACTGTTAAAATTTGGGGAATGGGAGAGAACAAGACTTTGTAGAATCTGCTGTGATAGAGGAAGATTTGGCCTGATCTCTTGGCCACCAACACGAGGAAGCAACCGAGGGTGACCTGGTAGGAGTGACAGCTCGGCATGGCAGTGCGCTCAAGGCGCGAATTCCGAGAGGAGGAACCAGCGGTCCGAGCTCCCCAAAAGGAGCCCAAACGCTCCCTTTGGCCCCGAGCCTTACGAGGAGCGCAAAGGGCAACAACCCGAATTGGCCCACCCCAGGGCAGTTCGGGCCACACTTCTATCTGAACTCAAGACTACCTCGCACACTACTCCGGCACTTCGTCTCCAGGCTGCCGAACTGAACAACCGTACCTGACACCAAAGGAGTCCGTATCCTGAGGCGGCGCACCTGACTGACTTAGGATCTGACACTTGACAAAGAGAACAGTGGCGGTTGTCTGCCCCAGCAGAGGTGATGCCACCCGAGCTGGCAGAAGTGCAGAGGTGATGACACCTGAACTGGCAGAAGTGCTGAGGTGATGACACCTGAGCTGGCAGAAGTGCAGAGGTAATGATACCTGACCTGACAGGAGCTTGGGAGTGAGTGCGCGAAGTGGTTATATAAGGCCCTCTTCCCCCCAAGAATGGAGGTACGTGATAACTTTGCGCCATTTGGTTTTTATCTTGCCTTTGAGAAAATACTAACTTGAGCTTCGGAGCACTCTCACCGGGTTCCTCCTCGGAGACTACTTGCTTTCTTCCCCGTTTCAGGCACCTTTTGCTCCAATCAGAGGCAAGATCGTTGACAGCTAGGACCGACCGGATTGCGCTCCATCAATTGGTGCCGTCTGTGGGAATCGCTTCTAAAAGCCTCCCTCTAAGACTTTCATAGCACCTTTTTTCCAAGAAACCCCAACACCCAAGGCTTCTTCCAGCAATGCCGGACGTAGCACGGAGATGAACGCCACCGGGGAACAACTTCAAGTTCCCGTGGTGTGCATCGGACAGTTCACCATCCCCCTTTCGATGGATGGGATCCCCAGCCTGAATGCGCCATGAACAATGGCGCCCGTGAATCTTCCCGCCATAAACGTCCCCCTTCCTCCCTCTGTTGGAACCACCTTTGCTGAACCAACCATTGTTCCCCCGACAACCAGCCAGAACCAGCTTGATGACCTGGTGCATGGCATGCGGGCCATCCAAGCCCAACTGCCTAAAAGTCAGCTCCCACCTCGGCACCCCGCCGTTAGGCGAGCCAAGCCCTCCCCTCAAGACGGGCGCCCCCACCAGGAGGCTTCCCAAGCTCA